GTGAGGTGAAGGGCAAGGTAAGGCAAAGCAGGCAAAGAAAACATTTGTAGAGCAGGACACTTCTCTCTGGAAGTCAGCTACTACCATGCATGTTTGAAAGGCTATGGGGCCTGAAAGACACACAATACAGTGAATTATACAAAAGAATCCTGTTTCAGTTTATGGAGGTACACAAGGTAGTTGTACACAACCATCTACTTCTAATTCTTTGTAGCTCAATTCAACAATTACTGATAATATAGTCTCCTTCAGGCCTTGTGCCTGATTTAAAAAACACACACACAAAACTGACTGTTTCTTGCTTGCTCCAAATGTGGAAAGGAAAGCAGAGAGTTAAGTGAATAATCACAGTACAACGGAGACCTGTGCAAAATGCTATGGAAACACAAAAGTGGCTGTGCCAGAGAGAAGACATCAAAGAGCGTGTCCTGAAAAGGTGCATCTACAGTGGGTCTTGAGCCTGGCCGGTGTGGCTTAGTGGCTGAGCATCAACCTATTAGTCAGGAGATCACAGTTCAATTCCTGGTCAGGGCACATGCCCGGGTTTCGGGTTCAATCCCCAGTAGAGGACATACAGGAGGCAGCTAATCAATGATTCTCTGTAATCACTGATGTTTCTATCTCTCCCTCTCCCTTCCTCTCTGAAATCAATTATATATATATATATATATTGCCCTAGTCAATTTGGCTCAGTGGATAGAGCACAGGCCCACAGGCTGAGGGTTTGTGCTCGATTCCAGTCAAGGGCACATACCTCAGTTGCAAGCTCGACCCCAGGCCTGGGTAGGGAGGTAACCGATAGATGTTTCTCTCTCACATCAATGTTTCTCTCTGTGTATGTCTCTCCCACTCCCTTCCACTTTCTCTAAAAATCAATTGGGGGATATATATATATATATTTTTTTTTTTTTTTCCTCCCAAATGGGTCTTGAAGGATGAGCAGGTACATACATGAGGTAGAGAAGATGAGAAGGACATTCCTGATAGAGGGAACAGAATATTACAAGGATCTGAGATAGGAAAACATCTGTCATGTTTCAGGAACTGCAAGCAGTGTGTCTTGTGCTATTTAAGACCCAACTTCTCAAACAGGACTGCAAAGCCTCCAAGAGAAGAAAGGAAGAGAAAGAAGAGTGCTGAAAAGCAGGTGAAATAGCAAATATGCATCCCACCTCCTCTGCCTCCTTTTCCCAGACTCTGCCTTACACACATCCCTCTTCTACACCACACACACCCTGACAACTCTGGGAAGGAAAAAACTCCCCGTACTCTAAGGTCAGTAGCTCCAGAATCCCCAGCTGAAGAGGCAAGCCTTCTACTGAAAGAGAGAAATGAGAACCTCAAGTCTCTGGAAAAGGGACATTAAGTACTAATTTACAAAGGTCCAACCAACTAACCTTAGTAGACATGCAACTTTGAACTGCTGAGGGAATCTCATCCACCCCCTAAGCCCATATCCAATGCCTTTTTCACTCCAACTCATTTCTAGTGAGCCGTCTCCAGCTTCTGTCCCCCTGAGGATGCTGTGTGAGCTAAAGTAAGAAAGGCAGTCTAATAAATCAGAGCTGACTGGTGCTTTAAAAATGACTTTAGCTATGGTTATAGTGTTGTCTCATGCTAAGCACAAAAATACATTTCAGATGGGGAAAAAAATGACTCTAGTAGGACACATTTCTGAACCCCAGCCATGCTGAGAATCCTTGGGTTATTGACACAGAGAGGCCAGGCAGACACGTCAAAGTAAACAAGGCCAAAGAAGCCATGGAAACAAGATAACACACAAGAACTGAAGTCTATAACCACGTTGGGAAACAGATAGGAGTGGAAGAGAGGCATGGCCTTTAGAATCAGACCTGAGCCACCACTTACTAGCTTCACTGAACCTTTAGTTTTCTCTTCAATAAATGAGACATTAGTATTTACCTCAGAGCATTACTGGGAATATTAAATGAAGTAAAGAATATAAACCACCTAGCCTGAGGCATATAGTCAGTGTTTAAATAATTTTACTTCCCTTCCCTTTAACCAGAGCCACAATAATGCACTGTTGCACAATTAGGGAGGTGTGGCCTCATTCACAACACAGTGTATGTGAACAGCACATCCTGGAATTATGCAATGCACAGTCCAAGATAGGCAGCCACTAAGACTTTTGTCTATAAGTAGTGCAGGAACTCAGAAAAAGAGCTAAAATGCCACTGGAGGTGTATTCAAGACAATGGATGGGTCTGAGACCACACAATCAATCCCAATAACAAATACAATATACCAGGAAAATAAAGCTCTGAAAATCAAGGCAACTTTATCTCAGAAAGCCTCTTCTATGTTCCTACTGGGGTAAAAGCCAATTTCTGGACCTCCATCAACCTCAAGTCTGTAGATGAACCCCATCAACCAAGGATCTGGTGAGTGTGAAGCCAGGGATAAGAGCAAACAAATGGTACAAGTCTCCAGCTGAGGTCTATGTCCTCTCTGCTTGACAGGTGGGTCAAACACTCAAGGACAGGCAGTTTCTCTAAAGGTGTTAAGTCCTGTCACATGGGACCCAGGAGACTGAGTCCAAGATCTAAGGTGACCTTAGTACCCTGGTTACCGAAGAGGGATGCCACTGCTCCTGAGTTTCTCCAGGGCAGGTAAGAATTGCTTTTTATGTTCCCAGACCTTAGCACACTGCATGATATTATCTATCAATTATAAATGGTTGCTTAAGAAATGAACCAGCCCTGGCCGGGTAGCTCAGTTGGCTAGAGCATCATCCGGATATACCAAGATTGTGGGTTTGATCCCCAATCTGGGCACATACAAGCATCAACCAATGAATGCATGAATAAGCAGAACAACCAATCAGTGTTTCTCTGTCTCTCCCCCAAAAATAAATTTTAAATTAATTAAATGAACAAATATGGATATGGACTTATCCCTATCACCTGGCCTCTTTGCATCTATAATACTCTACCTTTTTTAACCCCAGTTACTTAGATAATTCTTCTTAATTCTTAGGACTCAAATGTCATTTCCTCACTTAAAGTGAGGTCTTTCCTGACACCCTAAACAATATTAAGTTCTCTTGCAAAATGTACCCTGTTATCACATCCCTTATTTCTACTCATGACATTTATCAGACTTTACTGTGATTATTTGGTTCGTTTTTACCTTCCCTACAACACTATAAGCTCTAGGAGAGCAGAAACCATATCTGTTTTGTTCACTGTACTGATTCCCAGGGCATAGTACAGTACTTGGCATAGAGGGAGTGCCCAATATGTTAGAATGTTTGAATACATCAATGAAGGAATGAGAGCGCTCCAGTACAAAATGACTTTGGGGTAATTGGGGATTCAAAACTATTTGTAGAGCCCTAAACTGTCAATAGTCACATTTTGACTAGAATCTTAATGTGGTCTCTACAAATGCCCATGCGTGGAAGATGACAGCAGATTTGATGAACAACAGAACAAAGAACAATTTGTATGATAGGAAGTAAGGAGAGATAAAGTAGGAGTTAAGAAGTAGAAACCCCACCTGTGAGGAATATGGTTCATTAGCCTGCAGGACAGTCACTATCTGACCTGGTTCACTAAGGTCACATAGGCTTATGGTAGGTACCATCCTGCTACAACCATCACTTTGTTGCCCATAGACTGACAGGCCTTCTTCCCCTCCCTTCAGTTTTACCCCCATTTCTCTGGGCTATATGTGATCATTAAAAAACACAAATGCCCCCAAAAACTGGTTAATTTTTTTAATCCCCCCTAAGGCATAGGAGCATTATATCCTCCTAAATGCTAAGCACTTTCACTTGACCTGATACAGCACAGAGACAAAAGAGGCCAGAGGCTAAGGCTGCTCATACAGACTTGGGTCCACTCTGCCACCTAAAAGGGGATGGGCAGATTGCCCCGTTTCCATTCTCTGTCTAGCTATCTGAACACTGCGGAAATTATGAGCAGGCAACCTGCTGAGAGTAGAGAGGTGGGGAAGAGCTGAGGCTCTCCCAGAACTTCAGATCTATTAATAGCCTGGTCACATGATCACAGAGGCACAGGATTGTTGTCTGTAAACTTGATAACCTAAGCCAAAGACAGACAATTTAGGGTTGGGGTGTGTTCCAGACCAAGCATTGCAGTCTTGGGTCCACTCTAAATTATGAAATGTGGGAGCAAACCAAAGCAACCAGAGGTAAGGTGTTGACTCTTCACAAGATGCAGGGAAGGAAACTGCAGAATAAATCCCTCACCCTCTCAACCCTGCTGACTTTGTGTGACAGTAGGTCTCAGATGGGGCTTGGCCTTTGTAGGATTTCAATTTGCCCTTGGAAAGATTTTCACTCACTCTATCCTGACAGACTGTGTCACCTTGGACAAGTCACTGTTCTTTAGGCTTGGGTCTAACATTTGAAACTCAGGAAGGGTAGGCCAGATGATCCCTACATCTTGATGAGTTTGCTCACAGATATTAATTTCAAAGCGCCAGCGCTACATTATGAGAATCCCAAAGTCTAAAACACTGTGTTCTAGAGACTAAGAGAGAAGGGTCTCAGGTATACTATTCTGCCACCAGCCTCAGACACTCCACCAGGAATGGAGGCAAAGAACATAATGAACTGGGAACAAGCCATCCCAACCTCTCAAAATCCCAGCACCCTCAGCCTCCGAAGGCCATCATCTCATAACACCCAGGAATGAGCTCAGTAAATATAAGCAAATGACCTCGTGGCATGGGAATGTGGATGGTAGTTGCCAGTTCCTATATAGTTCCTTAAAGGGTAGGCCTGGAGCAGAGGTCTTCCTGCTTTAAAATAAAAAAGGAAAAGTGGAAATAAAGGGCCTGTATTTCCTGTCTTTTCTAATCTCAGTGCCACAATCAGAGGAAAAGCAAAGCAGGACATCTGTAAGAAACTTACCAAGAGCCATAAAGTTTTCAGGTGGAACATCTGAGATTTAAATACAGTTCTATATATTTATGTGTGTATACGGAACTGTCTATGAGCTTTTCTTTATTCCGTCAGTAGCCTCATGAGGAAGACTCAAGAAATGATGGCTTCCAGAACACCAGGAAAGCTGTGACACCAGGAAGGAATTCAAGTTCTTGTCAGCATTTTGGAGCTCTGTGAGGTGCCCTTCTATGTGCATGCACATGGCAAACACACAAAACCACACTCACACATCCCAAAGCTAAACTAAAAATTCCACACAACACAAATAAGCCAAGTGAATTTAAAAGACAGAACAGGAGCGTGTGGGTCTCTTCCCTCTTGCGGCCTTCGTAGGAGCGCCAGCGGTCAAAATGAAGTTCAATCCCTTTGTGACTTCTGACCGGAGCAAGAACCATAAAAGGCATTTCAATGCACCTTCCCACATTCAAAGGAAGATTATGTCTTTTCCTCTTTCCAGAGAGCTGAGAGAGAAGTATAATGTTCGATCCATGCCCATCCGAAAGGATGATGAAGTTCAGGTTGTTCGAGGACATTACAAAGGGCAGCAAATTGGCAAAGTAGTCCAGGTTTACAGGAAGAAATTTGTCATCTACATTGAACAAGTGCAACAGGAGAAAGCTAATGGTACAACTGTTCATGTGGGCATTCACCCCAGCAAGGTGGATATCACTAGACTAAAGCTGGACAAAGACTGCAAAAAGATCCTTGAACATAAAGCCAAATCTCACCAAGTAGGAAAGGAAAAGGGAAAATACAAGGAAGAAACAATTGAGAAGATGCAGGAATAAAGTAAAATTATATACAACTTTCATTAAAAACTTAAAATTAAAAAAATAAAATAAAAGACAGAACAGTTTCCAAGCCAGTAAAATTTCGCTGTTATACAAGATTACATCTGTATTAGCATATCTAAAGAAAAAATTTTCCTTTGTCAGGGAGGTTGGTCAGCTATGAAAGATGAGATAAAGCAGAGTCACAGGCACACATATTGACAGACACACTATTGGGTTCACTGGCAGAATAAGCCCACCATTCATTCATTCCACAAAGGTTTACTGAACACCTACTAAATGCCAGGCACAATTCTAGGCCCGGAATACAGTGATCCTAACTTAGCACTCTCAAGGAGAGAGGTAGCCAACAAAATCTAAGCATTCCAGTTGCTTTCCCATGATCTTCCCATCCCTACTGTGAGATGAATGTATTAGGCTACTTATTATAGCCGCTGTATCACCCAGAGTTTTTAATGGCAAGAGCAACTTAGCAAATTAACAACCAAAACTGATGCTGGCTAGTCTAAGCAGAAGGAGAACTTATTAAGAGAAGCTCATTTGCCCTAGCCAGTTTGGCTCAGTGGATAGAGCGTCAGCCTGCGGACTGAAGGGTCCCAGGTTCGATTCCGGTCAAGGGCATGTACCTTGGTTGCGGGCACATCCCCAGTGGGGAGTGTGCAGGAGGCAGCTGATTGATGTTTCTCTCTCATCGATGTTTCTAACTCTCTATCCCTCTCCCTTCCTCTCTGTAATAAATCAATAAAATATTTTAATTAAAAAAAGAGAGAAGCTCATTCTCAGCCCAGCTGGTTGAGTGTCGACCTATGAACCAGAAGGTCTCAGTTCAATTCCCCGTCAGGGCACATGCCCGGGTTGTGGGCTCACTCCCCAGTGTGGGGTGTGCAGGAGGCAGCCAATCAATGATTCTCTCTCATCACTGATGTTTCTATCTCTCTCTCCCTCTCCCTTCCTCTCTGAAATCAATGAAAAAAAATTTTATTTTATTTTTTAAAGAGAAGCTTATTCTCACCTGGAGAAGTAGGAAACCAGAGATGATGCCAACCAAGGACAACGCCCAAAACCAGGCAGCAGAACAAGTCTGGTCAGCACATCTCTGCTTCCACTGCCAACCTCCACTATCCTCAGCCACCATAATATAGCCACTGTAATACCACTACTATAGCTGCTCCAGGAATTCCATCTTGCTATATACACTACCACCACTGCAGTCTCTGCTCCTTTGCATCACCAGCTCTTGAGGGTCAAAGTGCATGGTGAATGGATGAGACTGAAAGAATCTAAGACAAGCTGCAAAAGAAGTTGAAAGTAAATGTCTGGCATTGTGAGTGAAGAAATTCTTAAACAGAGGAAAGCGTAATAAATATTCATTTTTAGTCACTTTGGTATTATACACAAAACATTGGATTCATCTAACTACTGCCCTTAATTCAGATCCTATGTTCACCATAACCTTTATGACTAGAATTTGGTGTTCCATGGTACAAATTAAAATCCAAATATTAGTAGTAGTAACATCTCTATGTTTTCCAAATGTAGAGTTAGATAACCCAAAAGTTACACAAAGACACAGCCTTGAAAAAATGTCAGTAAAAAAAAAAAAAAAAAAAAAAAAAAAAAATGTCTGGCATTGTGAGTGAAGAAATTCTTAAACCGAGGAAAGCGTAATAAATATTCATTTTTAGTCTCTTTGGTATTATACACAAAACATTGGATTCATCTAACTACTGCCCTTAATTCAGATCCTATGTTCACCATAACCTTTATGACTAGAATTTGGTGTTCCATGGTACCCAAACGTAGAAAATGTACTGGTCATACCAACATAAGCATTTCAGTATATGTGACAGTTCTATTTCTCAAGATAAACTTAAAAATTGGCATTCTAGTTTTATGTATCAGCCTTGTGAACTTTGTTAAGAGAGTCTGCTTGAAGAGATAAATAGTCTCAGTACACTGACAAAATCTGAACCTTCAAAAAGTGAAATACTGCCCTGGCTGGTTTTGCTCAGTGGATAGAGCACCGGCCTGCAGACTGAAGAGTCCCAGGTTCAATTCCGGTCAAGGGCACATGCCCAGGTTGCAGGCTCAATCCTCAGTAGGGGCATGCAGGAGGCAGCCGATCAATGATTCTCTCTCATCATTGATGCTTCTAACTCTCTCTCCTTTCTTCTCTGAAATAAATTATATATATATTTTTTAAGTTAAATACTAACCAAGCATTAACTGAGCACTTCATATGTGCAAGATACTCTCCTAAGCACTCTTTATGGATTACCTACTTTTCATATCAACCTTATAAACTGGGTACCATTCTCCCTACTTAACCTAAGAGAAGTTAAAGTAAACTTACCTAAGAATATGCAACTAATAAATCAAGGAGTCCAGAATTTGAACCCAGGTAGTATGACACCACACTTAAGCTTTTGTCGACTCCCCAAATTAAATCCCCCTGTTAGGTGGTGATCTTGCTCACTACAGTGTTTCTGGTGGGTGACAGATTGGCAGGAAGACACAATCCTATGTCCTCCACCCCAAATTAAAGTCTTGATTTAATTAGCTGCAGATATAAAATCTTATTGGAAGAGGGAAGGCTGTCCACACAGGACAAGAGCAAGTGAAACAACTAAGTGAGGCTTTGCTTGGTTTTCAGATTCTCTAACTGCAGCTGCTGACAGTACTATCCACACAAGGTAATCTTTGCTGGACTTAGAGCTCAATTCTTATTATGTTATAACCTTTTATTTATATTCAGGGATTATGCCTACATTTACACAAACAATATATTAAGACAGTCATTTTCAAAGTGGGATGCATGAGACTTTACAATGAAAGCAGAGAAAGAAAAATTAAAACTCTTATTTTATATTAGTTCTTAACCTTAAAATATATGAATTATGCTTTACTAGTATTAACTGTACAGACTAACAATGTGCCCTCAGATATTTCCATATCATTTATCACAAGGTGTCCTGACAATAGTAGGAGCTCCACAGTGCTAGAGGGAGAACATCAGTGTCTGGAGTAACTCCAGGATCTCTGACATACTGCAGTTAATACATGTCTGATTAAATGAACTTGTGAAATACAGTTTCTATTCCCCCCCACCCCAAGTAAACCAACCTTCACCATGCAGATAAATGATTTTAAAGGATTATTGCAAATAAATGAGCAAAACACACAAAAAAGTAATTATCATGGATTGCAGGTGATATTAAAATAACACACAAAAATAAACAGTAATAAGAAAGTGACAAAGCTGATCCTTCTATTCCTAGTATAAGCTCTATATCAAGGTAAAAACAAACTAATTGGTTGAAACAATAAGTTGGCAATAAAGTCAAAATTATCAAAGACTACTTAAAATGTGGATTTATATTTATTATTAACAATGAACCGCATCCTTAGTTTATATTGTGCCTTAACATATTAAATCAGGAGTCAGCAAACATTTTCTGTAGCGGGCAAGATACTAAATATCTTAGGCTCACAGACCATACATTCCCCATTATAACTAAACTAGAGGCCCGATGCACAAAATTTGTGCAAGGGGCTTGGCCCTGATAGCCACGGCGGCTTGCCTCAGCCCTCACAGTTGCGGGGGCTGCCTCGGCCCTCACAGCCCCGGCTTCATCAGGAAGGTCGTTTGGCTGTCCGGTCTAATTAGCATATTATGCTTTTATTATTATAGATAACTCTGCCATTATAGTACAAAAGTAGCCACAGGCAATATGTAAACAAATAAAGGTGGCTGTGTTCCAAAAAAAATTAGCATATTACGCTTTTATTATTATAGATAACTCTGCCATTATAGTAAAAAAGTAGCCACAGGCAATATGTAACAAATAAAGGTGGCTGTGTTCAAAAAAAGAACTTTCTTTATAGAATTAGGCATAGTTTGCTGATCCTTGCATTAACTAATGATGAAATAAAGCTGTCATGATGAAAAACACATCTAAAAAATAAATCTAAAGATAAACCTCTATAAATTGTATTTGAAGTTTGAAATCTGGACATAATCCAATTAAGAAGTCTTTTAATAGGATTCCTGCTTAACAGTGGGGGGAAAGGCACATATCATTGGTCAAACACTATTACTTCTTGCTGCAGTAAAAAATAGGATTAAATAGTACATGAAAAGTAAATTTTTAAACTGCACTCAATTGTCAGCAAATGCTATTTGAACAATATACAAGGCATCCAAAAAATATATATGTACACTTTAACAGCTGATATCTCAATTGATGTTTTCATATTTAACCCATTGGAATTAAAAACTATTCAAAGTGTGTATACATTTCTGGGACAACCTGTATACAAAATATTTCTTAACATTTTTTTTTAAATGTTTTTATTGATTTCAGAGAGAGGATGAGAGAGGGAGAGAGGGATAGAAACATCAATGATGAGAAAAAATCTTTGATCCTCTGCCTGCTTCACACCCCCTACTGGGAATGGAGCCTGCAACCAGGGCATGTACCTTGACCAGGAACCAAACAATGACCTCCTGGCTTACGGGTCTACGCTCAATCACTGAGGCACACCAGATGGGCCCTTAACAATTTTTAAATAAATATTATAGCCCTGACTGGCTCAGCTGGTTGAAGAGTCATCCCGTACACCAAGGAGTGGCAGGTTCAATTCCCAGTCAGGGCACATACCTAGATTATAGGTTTGATCCCCAGACGTGTACAGGAGGCAACTGATCAACATTTCTCTTTCACATCAATGTTTCTCTCTCTCTCTCTCTCTCTCTCTCTCTCTCTCTCTCTCTCAAATCAATTTTTAAAAATGTCCTCAGGAGAGGAAAAGGGAGGGGGGAAATAGGGGACATCTGTAATACTGTTAACAATAAAAAATATGTATTAAAGAATAAAAATAAAAAGATAAATAAATATTATAAATTATGGAGCGTGAGAGATGTTCTATGCAGTAGGATATTTTTTTTCATGTGCCAGTTAAAAGTATTTGCTATATTCTGTCAAACACTGAAATACAAAAGAAACTGCCTT